ATGGCAACTTCAAATCTCAACAAATAAATGTTCTGTCTTACATATTGGCAAAAAAATATATCAGAAAATAAAATATAGGCTGAATAGTTAAGAGCTTGTTGATGATCCAAACTCTGTCAAGGATCTTGGAGTACTCATCTCTAATGATCTAAGTGCTAGAGCTCACTGTAACTACATAGCCAAAAAGGCATTAAGAGTTGTTAACCTAATCTTACGTAGCTTTTTCTCTGGTAATATTACACTACTAACTACTGTGTTTCTCACAAAATAAGGCCGGGTCTTTTTTTTTTTTGAATCCCGAAAAAACGGCTAGGACGTCTTTTCGGGGTGAATTAATTCCCCCCCCCCCCCCGCACCAGCATGTCTCCAACAACAGCGTCTGAGTTGCTCCTGCTTTCCCCCTAACAACAGGAAAAAAAACATTTTGAGGTACCTGGGAGTGTCACGCGCTGCGTTTCGGTTTAATCCCGAGTGGCTGGGTGGGCGTGAGAATAGCCAAGCGAGCGTCTCTGCTGCTGCTACCCTTGATGCTGCAGCCTTGGGCTCTGCAAGTTTGCAAAAGTCCCAGTGTGCAGCCCGTTCCTGCATTCCAAGCGCCCAGACTGAGCTGCAGCTGTCCCTCTCGCCAGCGCCGTCTCCAATAACAGTGGCAGCAGCAGTGGGAACCGTGGAAGTTATGGAGGCAGCTCCCCCACCCAAGAAGCAGCTAAAACACTTCCACGGTTCCCGCCGCTGCTATTGAACTCACCCCTTTCCTAAGAGGTCTGTAGGGGGTGTGCATATGCGCACCAACGTACCTACCGTCCCTATCTTATTGTTTCTTTTATTTTTCTTATACGTATCCATTTATTCATAACTATGTTTTTACTTATACCTATTATCTTGTAAGCAATTGACAAATCAAATAAATAAATAAATAAATATATTACAGCTGTGTGTTTCCTGCACACCTCAGTTAACTGATTAGCAAAAAGTTCATCTATTTTGTCTGCTTGGTTGGGTCTATAGTACATACCTGCAGCTGTCAGGTTCCAAGTAATACAACCATTATAAAACTCTGAGGGATTTCAATTCCTCAAAGAACAAGTTTATTAATATACACCATCTTGGCACTAACTAGTGGAAAGCCAATACTAAATTCCCGGGCTTTCCATGTCACTATAACTAAGATTTTCTCAATTTTCCAAAACAATAAGTCACATTGTCCAACAGGGATGCGAGCTGGTTGCTTGGAGACTTCGCTTCTCCCTCCTCTGGTCAGCTGCCTTTGGAACGCGTCTGACTCATCAGCCAGCTATGTTATTTTGGCTGGCGACTCCATCCACCTGAGCTCTCCCCCTTTCAGCTTCCAAGTGTGTCAAGCTGAATTCATCTGAATAACCTAATCCACAATCTAACCAACTTCAGGCTTGACAGGCTGCCCCCCCCTCGACTGGAGGAATATCTCTGCAAGAGACAAAACACAATGGTAGTCACCAATGCCACTAGCCTCCTCTCCCTTTGGCTTCTGAGGGTACTTGTCATGGAACTGCTTTACTAATCTGTCTGCATTCACTTTCCAACTTTTCACCCATGTGGTCTCACAGAGTGGGTACCCCTTCCAATATATCAAATGTTCCAACTGATCCCTATGCACCCTCGAATCCAGGATTCTTTTTATTTCATAAAAATTTCATGTCAAAGTGCATAAAAGTGCATTAGAAAGAAACTACACAGATTAGACCTACACTGTGTGCCAGGATGAAAGAACATCAGGTAAGACTCACTCATAAACACTTACTGGTAGGTAAAGACCAGGACTTCTGGAAAAATGTGCTCTGGACAAATAAGGTAAAGACAGAATTACTTGTCACAGTATCAGAAGACATGTTTAGCAAAAACCACAGACAACATTTCACCAAATGAACCTGATATCAGCTATATAGTGGTGGAAATGTTAGGGCTTGGGGCTGCTTTGCTGCATCTGGAGTTCACGGTCAGTTCACCGCCACAGATTCTTCATTGCACCATTTCGAGAATAACATGACACTATCTGTCAGAAGAATGAAGCTCAACAAAAAATAAACCTTGCAAAATTCCAATAAATTCACAAGGAATAGCTGAAAAAAAGAAAAAGAAATGGAGGGTTCTGAAATGGGCAAGTTAAACTCTGACTCTGAAAAACTGTGGGTGATTTGAAACCAGCTGAGTGTAAAAGAAACCTCTCAAACATTCCACAAGTGAAAAAAAATATTTCCAGTTGATGTCAGAGATGATGGAGAAATATAAAAAACACTTGAAGTTTTTTATGCCAAAGGCAGCCACACCAGGTACTAGAGTCACAGAAGAAATGGAACGTCTGTTAATTTATATTGAATAAATGATTGAAAAGTCAATTTTCCAGTTTTATAGATCAGCTATATCATCTTTATAAACTATTTGAATGAACATAGAATAGAATTATTTACTACCCAAAGGTGACTGACCACACAAGGAATTTGTCTTCGGTGCATAAGCTTTCAGTGTACATAAAAGATATAAGTGATGAATCATGATCATAGTCATACATTCATCATGAATCATAAAGTGCGACAATTAGTGATAGTCATGTTACTAAATAAGCAATCAAAATCATACTAAAACAATATAAATTGTAAGATACAAGCAACAAGGTTATAGTCATAAGTAGAAAAGGAGATAAGTAATAGGAAAGATAAGGAAAATACAAGTAATATAATCTTAGTAAATAGTTTGACAGTGCTGTGGGGATTAGTTGTTTAGCAGTGATGGCATGGGGGAAAATTGTCCTTGTGTCTAGCTGTTCTGGTGTGCAATGCTTTATAACATTGTTTTGAGGGTAGAAGTTAAAACAATTTATGTCTGTAGATAGTTTCACAGCGCTCTTTTTGACTTGTGCAGTATACAGGTCTTCAATGGAAGGCAGGTTGATAGTAGTTTTTTCTGCAGTTCTAATTATCCGTTGAAGTCTGTGTCTATCTTGTTTTGTTGCAGAGCCAAACCAGTTATAGAGGTGCAGATTACAGACACAATAATTCCTCTGTAGAACTGAATCAGAAGCTCTTTGGGCAGTTTGAGCTTTCTGAGTTGGCACAGAAAGAACATTCTTTGTTGTGCTTTTTTGATGACATTTTTGATATTAGGCGTCCATTTTAAGTCTTGAGATATGATAGAACCTAGAAACTTGAAGGTCTCTACTGTTGATACCGTGTTGTCTAGTATTGTAAGAGGTGGTAGCATAGGAGGGTTTCTCCTAAAATCTACCACCATTTCTAAGGTTTTGAGCGTGTTTAGTTCAAGATTATTCAGGTCGCACCACAAGACTAGTTGTTCAACCTCCCGTCTGTATGCACATTCGTTGTCCGAGAACAATCACTGCTGTATCATCTGCAAACTTCAGTACTTTAACAGAGGGATCTTTTGAGATGCAGTCATTGGTACGGAGACAGAAGTGGAGAGAGCACACAGCCCCGAGGGGCCCCCTGTCCTAACTGTACAGGTATCTGATGTGATTTTGCCTAACTTCACCTGCTGCTTCCTGTCTGTTAGGAACAAAAAATGTTAAAAAATTACATGGGATGCACTTATGTTTTACACATAATGGCAGTTGCTTGGCCCAACGAATAAGGATACACATCCAGAGGTAGAAATGGGGGGGGGGGGCACCTAAAAATACCTCTGGCAGGGAAATGCCAGTAGTTTGCCTTCAACTGTTTTTAAGAAGCTGCAGGAGAGGAACCACTCAGAATTCATAAGACAGGAATCAGAACAGGGCCTTAGCAAAGAAAGAAGGGAAGGAAGACTGAAATAGATCTGGAAGTACTGAAATGATAAGGACGTAGAGAGGTATTCCTACATTGCAGCACAATGAGCGCTGATCCTATGATTCACTGAAGAATTCTGCTTCCCACGGGTAAAGCCTCAGTTTAAATAAGTTGAGTTTAGAATGAAACGCTCACCACCCGTGGTCTGAAAAGTGTCACAAACGATCTCAAGCGAAAGACACGAGCCCTACACGGAATGATATTCCCACCTGCCTCCCAGCCCTCGGTGGGAACATCAGGAATCCTCAGAGGAGACCCGATCTCGGATGCCCAAGGTGACCAGGAGAGGGGATCCTACACTCTTAAGGGTCTCTGGTCATCCCCTACTTCCAGTGTAACCGCACGCCCCCGCCCCCCCCCCGCAACCATTGCAGAGTGACCAAAAAACCCCGATCTCATTGTTTACAATAGCACGAAAATGGCTGCGGGTCTCGGGAACCAGCTGGAGGTAGCCGGGGAGGCCGCTAAGGCGACCAGGACGCGCTTCACTCAGGCCATCCGAGTTTCGGGCGGGGGGCGCGCAAGACGTGCGCTGAATCCTGCGCGGCTGAGTGTTTTGCTCCCCCAAGCCAGGCAACGCTGAGATGGGGGGACGGGGGGGGGCGCTCTGCTGCCTCGGAGCACCTGACTCGGGCGTCCCCCCCAGTCCCCCCGGGGCTTGGCGTGGGACTCCGGCAAGGTCCCGGGGTCTGCGACAAACGCCTCCGGGGGAAAAAAGGGGCTCGGGGGGGGGGGGGGTGGCGGGAAGGCCGAGTATGGAAGCTCCGGCGCCTTCCACCCGGCGGGTGCGAAGCCGCATTCCCGCGTGCACGCGCGG